CAACCTGGTTGGATTACAGTGATAGGGAGAGAAGTGAGCAGGGATACGACCCCACTACTTTAGGTCATGGAAAGGGACCTGGGCTTTAACAGCAGTGAGCGTCTGAAGTACAAGAGCATGTGACTTGATTAATACATCTGAAAGATCTCTGCTGCTGTTCATGGAAACTAGACTGTGGAGGGACAAGTGAGGAAATATGGAGACCAAAGGTGTAGGAATTTTGTGTGAATGTACTGCCAGAACCAACTCTGAGCCACATCTCTGAAAGGACTCCAGAGATAAGACAGCTCTGAGCAGCCTCCAGTTCTACCCCATCCTCTGGCCTTTTCTAGACAGGGGTGCACATGTCAAGACAGAAGGCAACTGGAAATGGGAAACGAAATATAAAAACTAAACCATCTTGGGCAAACAACAGTGAGTTCCTAAGCACAAATGAACTCAGTTATCTTTTCACAGATCAGCTGAACAGGCCCGAGGTTCCGTGGAAAGGCAGTCTCTGCTCAACCCTGCCGTTGAGGGAGCTATCCAGGGTGCTGGACACTCACCCTGAAGCTTTCTAAGGCCTGGTGGGTCAGAGAATCCGTCGTCCTTGTGGGACCTAAGGCCCCCGCTGTGTTGAACATTGGTACCATGTCCTTCTGGCCTTAGCTAACCTTTAAGCCCCAATGTGTGCCTGGGCCATGTCCATTTGGTGTAATGTTAAGCATCTTCCATAGATGCCTTAGAAAGAAAAGAGCACGTGGCAGCATAGCTAGGGGGATATAAAAGGTTTGAGCCTCCACTGTGCCTCATGACCATTTATAATACAGGCCTTTATAACAATTATTTATAATACTATGACCAAGCAGCACGTTCTGTGGAGTCCTTTTTCTTCCAAATAATATTCAAAGGAAGTACCTGGTTGCTGAAAGTGACAGTGAAAGTGTCACTCAGTCGTGGCCAACTCTGCAACCCCATGGACTGCAGCCCACCAGGCTCCTCTGCCCATGGGATTGTCCAGGCAAAAATACTGGAATGGGTTGCCATGCCCTTCTCCAGGGGATCTTTCTGACTTAGGGTCGAACCCGGGTCTCCTGCACTGCAGGCAGTTTCTTTACCATCTAAGCCACCAGGGAAGCCCTAGTATCTGGCTGCTGAATCTATTTATATAGTATTTATATATATATATATATATATATTACATATACATGTATTATTTATATATAAATATTTATTATATATTTATTTATATATTTATATTTATTATTTAGTTTGTTTTATTATTTATTATATATTTAGTGTGTGTGTGTGTATATATATATATATAAGTTCATATAATTCATCTAAGAGTCTCTGCCTACAACACATCTTAAGAAACACTGCCTCTCTACCTGCAATGATTAATAAATTCACAGAATATCCAATTTCACCCATCTCCTTTAAGTCATGTCCTTTTTTTTTTAACTTTCAGCAAATTTGTTGTTTTATTACTATTTTGTTCCATTTATTTTTATTAATTGGAGGCTAATTACTTTACAATATTGTAGTGGTTTTCGCCATACACTGACATGAATCAACCATGGATTTACATGTGTTCCCCATCCTGAACCCCCCCTCCCACCTCCCTCCCCATCCCATCCCTCTGGGTCATCCCAGTGTTCCAGCCCCAAGCACTTGTCTCATGCATCCAACCTGGACTGGTGATCTGTTTCACACTTGATAATATACATGTTTTGATGCTGTTCTCTCAGATCATCCCACCCTCACCTTTGACTTTGCTTTAAAAAAAAAAAAAGTATGTTTGAGTGGAAGCCATTACTAAATATCTTGAGTAATCAAGCTCACACACTAAGTAGGGGATGAAACTCTGTATGTTTTCAAGTCAAACACTTTACCTCTTCAACTAAACACTTAGAGCACTAGAGTAATCTGATGGATACTCATTTCTAGCTCTTTCCTTAAGTAAGAAGAAAAACAGGAAAAGCTACAGCATCTTCAGAACTTTCTATCTGCAACATGTCAGACCCTCCACTGTCCTTAAATAGGTTTGAGGGCCAGTGTGATTTATAAAGAGTCATAGAAGTTCAGTACAACTTTTTAGCTCCAAGTTAACAAGACTATGATGAGAAAGACTCTATTGCTCTGGTGTTTTCCTTTTATGTTCACAAGCAAATCAAATAGATGGGAATGCCACAAAAGTAAAAAGGAAATAAATTACTTCATTTTTACAGAGCCTAAGAATAAATACATGGCCCAGGAATGCCTTTGTTTAATCAAATGGTATATTACTTTTGTTAATTTTTATTCATGGAACTCCCCAAACTCTATCTTATCTCCTCGTCTTTGCTCACATACTCAGTTCTATTTTCATATGCCTGAATACTCATCCTGCCCTTCTTTTTGCTTACTTGCAAAATCCTCCAGACAAGTTTGAAACAGGAAACATTCTCTGAGAGCCTGACTAAACCCCCACCAGGAATGAGTGAAACTTGGACCCTATAAGACCTGCATTCAACTGTCTTGGTACTTATTAACTGTAATTTAATTTGTCCCTCTCTTCTACTACCTTTAAGTTCTATGCAGATAAGGACTATGTCTTGCCTATAACTGTATCTCCAGGGCCTCACATAGTGTTTTGCCTAGTAGGGGCATTCAATAAACTAATAAATTAGTGGACTTTATAAAGGTTCCCCCATCTTCAAAAGTCTTTTTTCTGTGTTTTCTGCTCTGATGCCTTGATGTCTACAGACAATACTAAGTTCAACACGGTGTTACACAGCACAATCCTAAATGCTGAACACATGTGATAAAAAGAACTATGTGAAAACACCGTCATTGTTCCTTGGAGGAAGGTCATTTCTACCTCCAATCTCAGTCTTTTTACATCTGTAACTGCCAATATTTTCTTTCCCTATATTTATGTATTGTTTTCCCTATCTATATCATAGCATAGCTCTTTATACTGACTTTCTAATTTTCTCTCATGAGAACAAATACCTTTGCCTCCTCCCCAAACAAATTCTAAATTCTGTGGGATTGTGGATTATGTCTTACACATATTTTTATTTCCCTCCGAACATCTAGCACAGATACAGAGTAAGTTCTCAATAAACATGAACAGATAAAACATTAGATTTGGAAATCATCAATTTCTCTTTTCATACATTAAATCAGGAGTCAGCAAATTATGGCCCACAGGCCAGTTCTAGTTAGTTACCTGTCTGTGTATATAAAGTTTTGTTGGCACACATCCATTTATTTACATAGTGCCTGTGACTTCTTGCCGAAATGCCAAAGGTACATAGCTGCTACAGACTGCATGCCCTGCAAAGCCAAAATAGTTCCTCTCTGGTTCTTTGCAGAAAACCTTTGCTGACCACTCTTCTAAATCATTTTTATAGATGAAAGAACTCAGTCTCAGATAAATGACTTGCCCAAGTTTGCAGTTGAACCTATCCACTAAATCTACCTCTGTCAGATGATTTTTCCATGTCAGATTAAATGTCTGATAAAAAGAATGATATCTTAGATTATATAAAAGTAAATAAAAAGGAGGACCAAAAATGAAGATGGCTGTCAAAAGACCTTTAAGGATTTATACTAACTTAAACCAAAATACAGATATAATTTTCCTAAATGAAATACTGTCTGCTAGTAAAAATTAAATAGTCTATGTTGATATCTATATTCATATAAAAATTTACTTGCATATATTATAAATTTTAGTAAAATGCTGACAACAAAGATCCAAGCCTTACAGTAGATTTCTAAAAGATGTTGAAAGTAAGAGCTGTCCAAAACAAGTGCTTTTAAAATGGACCAAGTTGACCTCACACACTGCTCTATTAAGATCTGAATAGCCTTTAAAAAAATCCATCCACTGGCAATGGAAGGAAAAATAAATAGTGTGTATCATTCCCCAGCTTTCACCCTACATTAGGGCAGTGAAGAGCTACAGCAAAAAGTTTGTGAGAATAGTGATTCATTCTCTATTCAAAAGTGTCTGCAATCAGTACGTCTTAATTTAGTAGAGTCCGGTTTTCAGCAAGTTACTTCGTCTCAGTTTCCATACAGGAAATCACATAAAAACTCCATCAGAAATGTTCTTAGTGCTTATATACTAAACTTTGCTTAAGTTTAAAAGGTAAAGAACAAGAACAGAGAAAAATGGTCCAGTATTAAGACAAAAGATTAATCCAGCTAAACTGCTGTCAGACCTCTGTTCTTGTCAAAGGATCTTTAGTATAGATATTTTAGGTAGTAAAAATGATTGGTGTCCCACGCCCAGTGCATCCCCTATAGACAATATAGCAAAAGTATAGACACTCCTGGAGTAGAAATGAAATGTAGCTGGCAGTCTATCAGAGAAACTGCACTTGGAAAACTATATACAAGAAAAGGGTCAAAGCAGACACAGTGAATGAAATGAATGAAATGTTACAGGCACATACTTAGTAACTGTTTGGTACAAATAATACACCCCTTATTACTGAGTCTTCTCATTTTAGCAAAAGGCCATGTTATCCATTGAGACAACAAAGAAATGGAAGAAGAGCAAGAGAAGATTGAGTTAAATTAGAACTGGTCTGGAGCAGAGATCAGAACACAATGCATATCTAGGCAAAGCCAAGTTGGAGAAATAACTATGTATGGATAATTAATATCACACAACATCACATAAGTCGAGCTGCCTACAACACACAAATATCCACCTGCCATCCCCCAATCATGGCACAGACAACGTCTCAGAGAACCAGCTATTGAAATCCTCTTCCTCTAAATTGCTCAAGACTGTTGGGATCTTGCCAGATGGAGGAAGCATAATTACTCAGCCACAACTACCCTGACATTTGCCAACTCCTTCTCCTGGGACCTTACCTCTTCTCCATGTTTCTATCATAGAGACTAGTGGGCTCACTAGGTATTAGTGTTTTATACAAATGGCTGATCATGTGTCTAGCTCTGTTGCTTCCCCTCTTAGAATTAAAATATGGGGTAAGTTGTTTGCAACACACTATTACCTTGAATACTTCTCTTGAAGAAGGCCTTACAGCCCTCACAAGACCAAACTCCATAATGGTAGCCTGAGGCATAGTCATTGCACACCGCACAGTAGCGAGTCTCCTTCGCAGATTCCATGGCCATGCTTCCCTTGTCGCTGGTACTGGCCAATCTCTCTCTGCCACCCTGGCGTCGATTATCTGAATTTGGCCTGGGGAAAAGAATAGGAGAAAAAAACAAAACAAAACAAGAAAAACACAGTGAATCCATTAACTTTAGAAAAGTAAAACATGCACTACCCTCTAAAGAATAAGAGGCTTGGAAGATGTAGCAGATCCACTTTATTCTGACATTTTGAAATAATGAATCATAATGTAAGCTAATCTTTCATTACCTCTGCAACTGTCTGTTGCAGCAAAAGGTGTTTGCCTATTATATTAACCTTGAGGGGAAATTGTTTATTGCAAACCTGCTTAAAAAATGGACTGCCTACACCGGAATATATTATTCAGAAAATGACAAAATGAAATTAGCTGGTTTCTATTAGATTTATTCATTTTTTTAGGGGTTCACAATGAACTCAGAACCATTTGAGACCAATGCTCATTCCAATTCCAGACCATGCTAAGGGTTTTTAGAAAATGGAGACAAAGCATAAGAAAGGGGAACATTTGAAACTCAGATGAACCAATGAGCCACATAGAACAAGTGCAGAAAGATAATTCAAATTTTTATGTCACTGTTATCAGATAACCCTAGGTATCAGTTGTTTGGACTTGGCTATAACTTGAGCATCTTAGTCAATATTCAGTATTCCTCTTCAAGAACATGGAGAATGAGAAGAACAAAAGAATACAAGTGATTACACTAGCCTTGAAAATTTTTAGGGAGGAAGCACATCCCAGAAAAGAAACTGAGAAAGTACAAACAAAAAGTTCTGGGAGACCCAAGGAAATGGGGAAGCTAAAAGTTCAAAGAAGTAGAAAGCTTTAAGAAGGAGAGACTGATAAAGTGAAGTTGGATTTGACATGAAGAACACTTGGCAAGGAGTTTCAGTAGACAGTACAAGACAACCCAGTAGGTGGAGAGTGGATGGAATGTAAGGAAATAAAAATAAATGAGGACCATTTCTTTGAGAACTTGATGCAAACAGGAAGAGAGAGAGATAGGGTTGTCACTAAAGAATACAAAGACAAGAAAGGATTTTCTCCCAGGAGGGAACTTCAGAAGTCACGGAGATTGAAAAGAATGGGCCAGCAGGCAGGGAATGGTGGAAGGAACAGGGAAGGGAAAAGAGAATAAAGTCAGGAAGGAAAGTAAAGCAATCGGGATTAAAGACACAGGTGGAAGGAACAGCCTCACTCTAGATACCTTGAAGAAGACAGGGAGAAACGAGATCAGGAAAGGAGTAGATGAAAGTATAGGAGCAGAAATTACCCTGGCCCCAGGATTTGCTCGGCATGCACGACAGAATAAAGGACTGGGGAGCATGTGGCCACAGCCCAGTACAGTGCTTGGTAGGTGGTTGGCACTCTATACTGTCTTGAAATGAATGAACAGTGTTCCAGGGTATATAGGGGGAAAAAAAGAAGTAGAAAAATATTTGAAGGAGAAATGAAATGAAGCCTATGACATTTTAAAAGAAAAAGAAAATAAGATGAGATAAAGTGAACTGAAGATAGAACTTCCAGGGTGTCTTGATTAAGGAAACTCACACGTCCTGCTTTCCACTGCCAGCCCAAATAACCAGACCACCCTGATGATCACCATTCCTTCAGTTCACAAGCCTTGACCTTCCTTTTAGGGCTTCCCTGGCGACTCAGATGGTAAAGAATCTGGCCGCAATGTGGAAGACCTGGGTTCAAATCACAGGTTGGGAAGACCCCCTGGAGAAGGGAATGGCAACCCACTCCAGTACTCTTGCCTGGAAAATCCCATGGGCAGAGGAGCCTGGAGGGCTACAGTTCTTGGGGTCACAAAGAGTGAGACACGACTAAACTTAGCATGCATATCTTTCCTTTAAGCTCAAATTTTGCAGTCCTTCCCTGCTCTTCTCACTCATCAATACTGTCCACAATTTTGTGGCAGTGGTTCTCAAAGTACATTTGCCTTATTCACAAAACAACTAGCTGCTTGGGTTGAGTATGTTTGACTTTGTCAATTCTTTTCCATTCTAAGTGACTTAGCTCTTGGGTTGGCAGCCACAAATAGGAGTTCTTTATTTTTTAATATCCTTAGAAAGCACTGCATGTAGCTCATGTTTTCTTACCCATCTCTTTCCATTTCATCACCATACCATCCACACCCCCCTACATAACCTCAAATCTTTTTACTGTTTGTTTACTCATGTCTCATGCACAAGTTAACTCAGCAGATAGCAGCTGTGAATATTTCACTACAGAAGCTTAGCATCTAGAGAGGGAAGGGGTGGTTAGCAAGCGTGACATTCACAAACTTGGTGTCTTATAAAGCTTTTTAAGTACTGAAAGTGAAAGTCGCTCAGGCGTGTCCAACTGTTTGCTATCCCATGGACTATAGAGTCCATGGAATTCTCCAGGCCAGAATACTGGAGTGGGTAGCCTTTCCCTTCGCCAGGGTATCTTCTCAGACCAGGGATTGAACCCAGGTCTCCTGCACTGCAGGCGGATTTTTTATCAGCTGAGCACAAAGGAAGCCCAACAATACTGGAATCGGTGGCCTATCCCTTCTCCAGCAGCTCTTCCCAACCCAGGAATCAAACCAGGATCTCCCGCATTGCACGCAGATTCTTTACCAACTGAGCTATGAGGGAAGCACTTTAAGTACTGAGCCCTATATTAATAACTAGCTTAGCACCTAACACATAGGAAGCATTCAATATACATTTGATGAATGAATGAATAGTATGTGCATGGGCAAAAGTTCCAAGCTTTTAAGTATCCTCCACCCATCCCTGCCTAATAAGATACCGTATTTTTTTTAAATAGCAGTAAGATACACATAACATAAAATCGATCATCTTAACCATTTTTTTTTCATCTTAACCATTTTTAAATGTGCCATTCAGCGATAAGTATATTCACATTGGTGTACAACCAATCTCCAGAAATTTTCCATCTCACAAAACTGAAACTCTTTACCCATTAAACAACAACTCTTCATTTCTTCTTCTCCAGCCCCTGGCAAACACCATTCTACTTTCTGTCTCTACGCATTGGATACTCTACGTATTTCACATAAGAAGAATCACACAGTATTTGTCTTTTTGTGACTGGCTTATTTCACTTAGCATCATCTATGCATGAATTCCTCTCTTATCAGCTACCCCTAATGCCCACACACTGGAGGTAACATATCCTTGTTTTGAATTCAATAGCCGGCCTTTATTCCTCTTCTGCTACTTACAACATTATCACTCCTTCAACTGTACATTCTCATCTCCGTTGCTGTCCACTAGGTTCCCTGTGTCTTATTCATTGTTGGAACTCTGAGTGTTCAGAGCACAAAGCCTCTTCCAGAATAGGAACTCAATAAATATTTATATCAAATGAATTAATCAATGGTTGAGTTGATAATGTGATAATTCTCAAAATAATATAATAGGCTATGCATATACTGTTTTTAAGAATACTGGTAAAAGATGTAAGAGCAAAAGCCCATTTTTCCCAGACCCAGCACAGTGGTGTGCTGTCAGCAAAATGTCTTTTGTCTACACTTTATCTTTCAGATAGCCCTGGAGTACTGAAAATTCACTGTAGACATAGGGCGTGAGACCAGAAGGCTTCAGAGAAGATGAGGGGGAAATTACACAGGCCACATCTCCTCTCCATTAGGCAACGTTTTTATCCAACTGGGAAATTCACGAGTATAACACTGTCAGTCATCATTTGAGTTCAGCCCTGCTCTACAGAGACTCTCAAGCCAGGGTTTCATGAAAAAATAATAATAATATAATCCAGATCAAGTAAAAAGGTAAGTGAGATCCCCTCACAGGCCACGAAGTCCTGTCGCACCTTAAAATGCAACAGTCAAAGCTGCTGAGCTAAGCCAAGCTTATCTGGCCCAACTGCATCCAGATAGAGATCTGTGTCCTCAGAATGCAGACGAACTTGGCCGTGTAAACTGCAGTGGAAAGGCCCAGAGTGGGAGGTGCCCGTGCCTGGACTCAGACCAAGAGTCACAAGAGTGGACCAGGCACCAACCCGAGGTGAGACCAGTCCCCAGGGATGCGCTTACTCACAGATCCTGGACTCATCTCTCCCGGCTGTCCTCTGCTTGGTCTTGCCTGACTGCAGCTGTCACAGACCCGGAACTCTTAACCTCACACCTCGCCAGTAGCAAGTGCTTCTATTACACTTAGGGCAATCTTTCTTCCTCTTCCTCTATCTGCCTTGGGCTTTTTATTTCCATAGGACCAACATCACCTACTCTCTTTAACTTGTTCTAAGTGTCTTCAGCTTCTGCCTTCCTAATGAGAGACTTCAGAAGCCTTAACCACGCTCTTTCCCTTTATCTTAAGTGATGATTTAACTTACTTTTGCTGAATTGCCAAAGCATCTCCCTTTTTGTAAAACATATTTCTCCTGCAGTTGTCACCAAACCTTATCATTTCTTATCCTGGACACTTCCTCATAAGATGTAGATGAGAAGTTGATGAGTCTATCAAGCTAAGTATTAAGAGGTCAGCTGTGCTTTCAGTTCAGTTCAGTTCAGTTGCTCAGTCATGTCCAACTCTGCGACCCCATGGACCGCAGCATGCCAGGCCTCCCTGTCCATCACCAACTCCCGGAGCTTACTCAAACTCATGTCCATTGAGTCGGTGATGCCTTCCAACCATCTCATCCTCTGTCGTCCCCTTCTCCTCCCACCTTCAATCTTTCCCAGCATCAGGGTCTTTTCAAATGAGTCAATTCTTCACGTCAGGTGGCCAAAGTATTGGAGTTTCAGCTTCAACACCAGTCCTTGCAATGAACATTCAGGACTGATCTCCTTTAGGATGGACTAGTTTGACCTCCTTGCAGTCCAAGGGACTCTCAAGAGTCTTCTCCAACACCACAGTTCAAAAATATCAATTCTTCAGTGCTCAGCTTTCTTTATAGTGCAGCTCTCACATCCATACATGACTACTGGAAAAAAAATAGCTTTGACTAGACGGACCTTTGTTGGCAAAGTAATGTCTCTGCTTTTTAATATGCTGTCTACATTTGTCATAGTTTTTCTCCCAAGGAGTAA